TAAAAAAACAAAAAACCCGGGGGGGGGGGGGGAAGAGCACAAGACATGTGAAACAGGTAACATCAAATACAATGGCAGCTAGCTGACACCCATGCGCCAGTGGAGGGGAGCAAGCGCAGCCCCGAGTGACTCCCCTTCTTTGGAGCGGTGGGTGGCTCCTCCTCCTCTTCTTCTCCCCCACCTGGACAGTTGCTTAGGCCCCTCTGGAAGCCATGGGATAGTCCTAGCCACTCCAGTTCTGCAAAGGAGCGCATAGCATCTAAAACGGGAGTCCCCCCACTGATACGACTCAGCCCTATACTTAGCTTCAGACAGCAGGGAACCACATCAGGTACTTTCCTTGGGCTGTTGCCTACAAAGCTTCCTACCAGGGAAGACTGGGAGAGCCCCCACCGCCATGGTCGCCTTTGAGTCAGGCTTTGCCAAGGAGTGGGGCAGCACAGGGATGGAGACAAAAGCCCTTCTCTGGGAAAGCTGAGGTGGATGGAGAGGCCAGTGGGTGAGAGAAGCAGCAGCAGGGGGCGGGGAAGGTGGCCGCACTTGCCCTGACATGCAGCGGTGCTGCTGCTCTGCCTCCTACCTGCGCTTGGGCTGTCGTGGTCGCAGCTCCTCCCCCTCATGCAGTCGCTTGGCCATCAGGTCCCCCTGGTGGAGGTGAAGGAGACCTTTCTGCTGAGTGCCACTGGGGGGGAGGGGCCCTGCGCCACCTGCATTACATTATGTGGATCCAGCTCCTGGCTTGCCTGGCCATCGGGCTTGTCTCCTTGCAAAAAGGCCAGCGAGATCCTGGCCCGATCCTGGGGACCGCTCGGCTGCTCGCTGCGCCATGCTGGGCTTGTGCTAGCACATAAGTTGGAGGGGTGTGTGTCAGTTCTGCCTCCCTGTGGGTCTGCAGCCTAGGCAGCTGCCGAGGTTGGCCTTATGGTAGCACTGGCCCTGGCCATTAGCCTCAATAGATGGCAACAGTTATTTAAAGTTTGGGTTTTCTTTTAGTCATTGCTCTCTGGACCAACCAACCCCTATTGGGTCTTGACAGAATAACCAGGATACATCCTCTATAGAACTACAGTGCACTCTATTCAGGTATCTGATTAATCCTGTATGCTGCATACTAGAATGTTATGTTTGAAAATTTCTGCATTATGGTTTTGTCTTTCAATAAATAAGAGTTACCTTGGAACTGTTGTCAGTTTGGTGTAGTGGTTAAGTGTGTGGACTCTAATCTGGGAGAACCGGGTTTGATTCCCCACTCCTCCACTTGCACCTGCTGACGTGACCTTGGGTCAGTCACAAGCTCTGGCACAGCTGTCCTTGAAAAAGAGCAGTTTCTGTCAGAGCTCTCTCAGCCCCACCTACCTCACAGGGTGTCTGTTGTGGGGAGGGGAAGGGAAAGGAGTTTGTAAGCCGCTCTGAGACTCCAAGTGAAGGGCGGGGTATAAATCCAATCTCTTCTTCTTCTTCTTCTTCTTCTTCTTCTTCTTCTTCTTCTTCTTGTCAGTTTCCTCCCCGTCCCTAATCGAGCTGGGTGGAGAAGGAAGTCCTGCACTCCTATTTTCTCCAAAAATACCACTGAGCCACAGCCCCTCCTCAGTCTTTCATATCTTAAGTCCCACCAGTTATTGTATCAAGGAACCTGAGTCCCACCATGATAGAAACCAGGGCCTTTTTTTAAGAGGAGGAGGAGGAGGAGGAGGAGGAGATTAGATTTATACCCTGCCTTTCAAACTTACAAACTCCTTTCCCCTCCCCTCCCCACAACAGACATCCTGTGAGGGAGGTGGGGCTGAGAGAGCTCTGACAGAAACTGGTCTTTTCCAAGAACAGCTGTGCCAGTACTATGGCTTGCCCAAGGTCATCCAGCAGCGGCAAGTGGAGGAGTGGGGAATCAAACCTGGTTCTCCCAGATTAGAGTCCGTGCACTTAACCACTACACCAAACTGGTGGCGGAACTCTCAAGAGGGAAATGAAGTTTTCAATCTGTCGAAGAGGTTCCGAAACCCCGTTCCAGCGCATTCCCCCAGAAAAAAAGCCCTGATTAGAAACAAAAAGTCCACAATTTCTGAGAAAAACTTTTATATGTTTTTACAGGCATCCTGTCATATTTAGACATAAAAATTGCAGTATTGATAGGGGTAGATTTGTATTGCTGGTGGACAGGAAGAGTGGGGGAATAGGAGAAACACAGAGTGACCAAGCTTACTATTAGCATGCCCAAAGGTCACTGGTGGATAATATATATATATATATATCTGTTGCTGGCTTTCACTTTTAAGTTGGTTCAGCTCCACCTGGTCATTCTGTTGACTCAGAGACATCTTCAGTGTGTGACTACAAGAAAGCCAGCTGACACAATCGTTAACACAAAAGTCACAATGACGTCCACATTTCAAGTTAAGCAATGATTCTGAATTGCTTTACGGGATTTGGCAGATTGGTACAGAGGGTGTTAAAGCTTGTAAAGTTTGGATCCACTCAGCTTTTCCCCCAGTGAGAAAGGGGCTCACTTTGACCACCCAAAAAGGCTGTCAGAAGCTGTGGGCGATGGGTTGGACCCCCTTGACCCTGGGCATCCTCTAGTGTCCTTTGTAGATGTCTTTGTGACCTAAATACTGAGAGAGGAGTGGGTCAAATTCACCCTGTACCCTTCCTCTCCCATGCTGGGCCTCCCCAAGAGTGCCTGGGCATGTCCTCCTTGGCCTTTTGCTGATTCTCCTTTTAAGAAGAAGAAGTGCGCGGACTCTAATCTGGGAGAACCGGGTTTGATTCCCCACTCCTCCACTTGCACCTGCTGATGTGACCTTGGGTCAGTCACAAGCTCTGGCGCAGCTGTCCTTCAAAAAAAGCAGTTTGTGTCAGAGTTCTCTCAGCCCCACCCACCTCACAGGGTGTCTGTTGTGGGAAGGGGAAGGGAAAGGAGTTTGTAAGCCGCTCTGAGACTCCAAGTGAAGGGCGGGGTATAAATCCAATCTCTTCTTCTTCTTCTAGATTTATATCCTGCCCTTCACTACCCAAAGGAATCTCAGAGTGTCTTACAACCTCCTTTCCCTTCCTCTCCCCACAACAGACACCCTGTGAGGTAGGTGGGGCTGAGCGAGCTCTTTCGAGGACTGCCCTTGAGAGGACAGATCTGACAGCACTTGTGACTGACTCAAGGTCACACCAGCAGCTGCAGGTGGAGGAGTGGGGAATCAAACCCGGTTCTCCCAGATTAGAGTCTGCGCTCCTAACCACTACACCAAGTGGACCCCCTGGACGCCCACCCACCCAGGAAATCCCAGGCACGGAAATCCCACCAGAGTGAGTATTCCCACGAGACTTGAGAAGAGGATCTCATCCTTCACAGGGGAACTCCCCTGGTCATCTTCTGGGCCAGCTGCCAACAGGCCTAGCTATTAGGTGCAGCTCCTTAAAGGATCCACACAGCTTGGCTGGCACTGCTGGGCCTCTTGAGTGCTCTTGCTGCTCCACGGACAGCCACCTTCTTCACGGGGCACAGGAGGGGCAGAACCACACTGCTGGACCTGCTGCGTGGCAGGTAGTTGCTCCCTTCATCCGCTAGCCTTCTTAAGGATGGGGATGGGCTATGGCAGGGATTATGGGAACTTTATGGGGGGGGGGAACCCCACATGGGACTGAGACTGTAGTAACAAAGGGAGCTGAAGCCAGACTGAGTGAAAAAGATGGCTGGCTTTATTTATTTTATTTATTAATTCGATTTATATCCCACTCTCCTCGTGTAGCAGGCTCAGGGTGGATCCAATCCTGTGAGCCAATTCGTCTCGGGCTATTTGCCCTGAAAGGTCTTTAGCAGGCAAGAAGGTGCAGAAAGGATGGAGGAGGCACACAGAGGCGCTGAGCAAGACAGGAAGGTGAATGTTAAGAACGTGACAAAGCGCAGCACTGGTAAGGTACTGGAGGCGCTGTCAACCCAACCAAGGGTGTCAAGTCCAGGTCTTCTTTAGACGTTCCAGGGGCAGGTTGGAAAGTGAATCTCTGCAGGAGACTTGTAAAGAACAAGAAGAGCTCCGTTTTGGCCAGGGTTTCTCCTGCACACATTCTCCGACCTGTAACAATGGAGATGGAGGAAGGAAGCCCAGCTTATTTCATTTCTTTAGAACATTTTTCTGCTGCTCTTGGAATACTGCCCCAAAGAGTTTGTCATGCAAAAATGAAAACAGACTGTGCCACCCTGGGCAGGTCTACTCAGAATCCTACTCAATGACAATTACGCCTAGAAAACTGTTCTTAGGAATGCGCTGGTAGGAACAATATAATAATTATTGTGAGCGAGAACACTAATGCCGAGAGAACAATGAACTCCCAGTGAAAATTAGCATATAAGTCTGAAAAGGGCATAGAGGAAATTGTTATAGAGCTGAATGACAAGCACACACACTGCGGTTTTGCATGGTGAGAAATGCCCACCTGTAATGGCGTCCTTCCACGTAACTGTGCATAGGACCCAGGCGCCTCAGTCATTAATTACGACCGCATATATCTAGAAGTAGATACCTGCAGAGAAAGGCATGAATGCGTCTCTCTTCACAAACTTTCCATCCGAGTCCAGAAAGTGCTCAGGGTAGAACTGATGTGGTTTCTCCCACTGAGTTTCATCTTGCAGCACAGTGGACAGTAATGGGAGGATGCAAGTTCCCTGCAAAGTCAAAGCAATGAGTTACTGAAGCGAGTGAAGATAGGCCCTTTCTGCACTGACAGCTTGCTCCAGAGGATCCAAGGAGTCAAGCCTTAAGGGTTGACTTTGCAGTTGCACGCATTCACTCTGCACTGTTTTTGTGCTCCTCCAGTTTATTTATTTGTATTAGTTCCAGCTCCTGCCAACCTAGCAGTTCGAAAGCAAGAAATTGCAAGTAGATAAATAGGTACCACTTCGGTGGGAAGGTAACAGCATTCCGTGCGCCTTGGTGTTTAGTCATGCCGGCCACATGCCCACGGAAATGTCTTCGGACAGCGCTGGCTCTTCAGCTTTGAAACGGAGATGAGCACCGCAACCCTAGAGTCGGATTTGACTGGCTTTCGAGCAAGGGAACCTTTACCTTTACTATATTCTGTATGCATTCTGCATCCACAAGCAAAACCCACATTTTTTAGCTAACTGGCTGCTTTGTCTAAGATGAAGAGTAAGGCAAACATTCCTCAAAACTTTTAACTACAGACCCAACTCCTCCCTCCCTCCCCCCTCCCTCCCCCCTCCCTCTGTGATTCTGCAAAAAGAAAGGGAAGGGAGAGGGAAATCCAGGCCCACACATGCAAGACTGACACATTTAAGAGCAGGGAATCCCCTAGTCCTTTATATTTACTGATTCCTTCTTATGGTTTCTCTGGCTTTGTAAAAGTTTGCCTGAGTGGGAGGACACATCCTCTTTTGTCTTTGGAGAAGGAGGGAAAGAAAACAGAATGGGGAGGGAGCATCAGCCTAAAGAGAGAGAGAGAGGTGGAAATGGGGGAGGGCAGTGGGCAGCATTTAAATACCCATAGAAACAGTTCTACTTTAGAAATTCAAAAGCAAATGAGAACAAAGAATCGCAGCAAAAGGAGTTTTGGTAGCTGCGGGGCAACAGTGTGCTGGAAGCAGTCTAATGCAGATTCTTGTAAAACAAATGCAGAAACATTAAAAAAAAAGCTGGGAAACGAAGTAGAAGTGAAAGTGGGAGGGAATGCAGAATAGAAGAATAGGATGCACTCAGAAACCGAGGCAAAAGTGCAAAAAGGGCCACAGTTTTGGAAAGCAGCCTTGTTGGTCTGCAGTAGAAAAGCTAGATTCAAGTCCAGAATCACAACAGAGACTGACAAGATTTTCAGGGCATAGGCTTTTGAGAGTCAAAACTCACTTCATTAGATCTGACAACGGGAGTTTTGACTCTCAAGAACTGATAACACGAGATCTTGTTGGTCTTTAAGGTGCTACTGAACACGAATGAAGAAAACGAATCAGCCAGCCCCGAATATTGAGCTATGTGTGGATGCAAGTGCAAGAAAAATGAGGTAAGGATTTGACTTGAAAAGTTTAAAATATTTTGGCACCAGCCAACCGCATCGAGCTGAGTTTAAGTTTCACAGCATTTCAACCTAAAAGTCAAGGAAATGCTTAGCTTTCTTCCATTGAAACCATTGGGATTCTGTATTGAAACCATTGAAACTTCCATTGAAACCATTGGGATTAACTTCATTCCACAAAATATTTGAAGAGAGGGTCTTCTGGTGAATAGAAGAATAGACATGCCATATTCAATTTAGCTAAGGTCGTAAAGTTGATGCAATGAAGTAGGACCGATCACCTTGGGAATGAAGTAGCCTTTAAAAGTGACGTCCACAGTGGTTGCGCGTGGCAAGCTTGTAGGGGCAATAGCAAACCTCTGAACTTCATGGATTACTGCATCCACATATGGCATTTTTGCACGGTGTTCTGTCCGTGGCTGAGCAGACCCAATCACCCGTGCAATTTCTTCTTGGACTTTGTCTGAGAAAATAAAACATTTCACAAAAATAAACATTCCAAAAAACCAACACAATCAGGGAAGAGTATGGGATAGAAACCTTTTTAAATAAATGCATAATACATAGATATATTTGACAATGTTTCCTAGAAACGTTACAGCCACCTTAAATGAGTACGAATGAGTTCCATGCTATGGTTTTGAGTTAAGTGTTACCAGTTGGTCATCTTTGGCTGGCTGAATGAATGAATGTTAATGTAGTTGATGGCTGGATATCTTTCCCCAGCCACGGAGGGCAATATCCAGCACTGTTTGGCAAGGTGACAACTTCGAATAAGTAGAGAAGGACAGAGAAATGAATGAAACTGGTTTGGCAATCTTGACTTGGGGGTGGGGTGGGGTGATGGAGTTGTTAAGACTAAGGGAGTGCCAATTTTTTTTTTAAATCAGTATTTTTTGGATTTGGGTATATTGGACCCCCCAAATATTGAAAGCCATCCTTGTTATCCCAAATACTGGTATGGTATTCAGATTCATATTTTGGGGGGCTTTCCAAATTTTTAGGTCAATTATTTCCTATGGGGAAGTTTCCATGTGACAGAGAGGGTGTTCTTAGGGGTACATGCACCAAAATTGCAGCACAGCTGCTGGTGCATGTCCTTTAAATAACCCCCACATTTCAAGTAGACTGGACCTGTGGGTCCAGTTCCATGGGCCCCTGAATAGGGCACCCCCCAGCCATCCTCCATGGAGGGTAGGAAAACCCCCTCCAATTTGCTTTCAGGCCAGGACAAAAGACATGCCTGCAAGCAGCAAATCATGGGTCAAATGCCTCCCATGGAAGAACCAACAAACCCAACAGAACCACTGCAGACTCCAGCAATCCCAGTAGAACCACAAACCAATGAGACAAGCCAAACAGAACCATAATCAAACCACAGAATCTCTCTAGTGGAAACTCAAGGTAGGGGGGGCATGTTTGCAAGCCCAACAGAACCAACTGCAATGTGCAGAAGCCGATCAGAACCAGTGCCATTGTTGCAGTGCAAACTTACCTGGGCTAATGTCAAACCAGAGAATCACAGCAGAAGGAATCCAAGCAAAGCAGAGCTGGCAAAGAAAAAAATCCTACTCCTGAAACTGACAAACAGGCTTGAAACTGACAGAAGCAGCCTGGCAAGTTATAGAAATCCTGGAGGAATAAAAAAAAATAAAGGAAAAGGATGTGTGTGAGGGAGAGAAAAAACAGTCCTAGGAACCTGCAAACACTGGCTCTGGATCTTCCTGGGATTTGGGGGACCATTTGTTTAGTATCCCAAAAAAACCCTGAATATATTCGGTATCCCCCCAAAAAACCTGAATATATTGGGATGCTGAATATATCTGAAAAATATGGTATTTTTCGGGTACATTTTCGGTTTGGTTTTACCTGAATGCACATCCCTAGTCAAGATCTTAGAGACCACAACTTTCATTCTGAGACTCTGATGAAGGGTTAGCAAAATAGCTGGTTTGTTTTCAAGGGCCATTTCCACACAGGTTTTCTGCCCCAGGTTCAATGCTGTTGGGGAGCGGGGTGTGGGTGGGTTTCCTATTTCCCCACAGCATCACAATACATTTCTTTGGTCTTTCTTAAACCTGGTCTGTTCTGAAATTTTGGGAAGGATCACAGTAACACCTAGAGGGCCTCTCTGTGGGTGGGAAATCTTGAATTTACCCACCCACATGGCAGCCATTTCCCCTGACCCTCCAGCAGGCATTTCCGAACACCACCGACACCCAGGGTGTGTGTATGTGTGTGTAGGTTTTTTTTAAAACTTTAGGTTTTTTTAAAAAAGAATCTGGTCCATTCCCCCTTTGCAATGGGGAGACGTTCATTTTTTAAAAGCTAGGAATTCACAGAACTTGATAGACCTATTTTTTGACTGGCATGCTTTTCCAGTGCTTCATTAAAAAAAATAAATTGCAAAAGCCCCAGTGGCTCAGGTCATGGCCACTCCTGGGGCTGGGACAGATGCTACAGTTTATCAGTGGTGTGCACATGCTACCAGTGGCTGCACCAGCAACAGGGAACCCACACAATCCCATCCCCCTGTGGAAGCCACCAAGGTGTTCTGCTTATCAGTTTGTATTACAAATTACACCATCACTGTGCATTGCTCTCGTAGCCAAAGGAAGCACTTCTGGCCCAAGTACCCTTTCTTCTACATCATTTTAGGCTGCTCAGGGTGTATTTTATGCTGCAGCTGTGCCCAGGCTTCTTTGGATGGCGTTAGCCTGTTTTTGAACACCTGTGTTTTAAAGCCTGTTGCTTTTATTGGTTGTGAGATACTCCAAGCTAGTTTCTGGAGAGGCAGACTATGAGTTTGCCAAATAGACAGGTAAATAACTTTTTCATTATCCAGGGAACTGGGGACGCTGCAATACTATTCACCTCTATAGCATCTAGTTGATATACACTCAGATCCCCTAACCCAGTTATTATTTGAAGAAAAAATGGATCCCATCCATTCCCTAGTAAACTGAGGGCACAGCTGTGCATGCCCAAAGGGATAGCTACATGAAGCTACCTTTTCTGCTAAAGAAAACTAGAAGCTCCATGCGTACCTTAGAGTGGCCAAAGATTAGACCACTCGCATCTTCCTAAAACCATGACAGTATTTTTATAGTCAGTAAGTGACCTGGATGGCCTAGGCTAGCCTGATCTTGTCAGATTTCAGAAGCTAAGCAGGGCTGGCCCTGGTCAGTATTTGGATGGGAGACCTCTAAGGAATACCAGGGTCGTGATGTAGAGGCAGGCAATGGCAAACCACCTCTGTTGGTCTCTAGCCTTGAAAACCCTACAGGGTGGCCATAAGCAGGCTGTGACTTTCTTTCTTTTTTGACTTGAGCGGCTTACAAACTCCTTTCCCTTCCCCTACCCACAACGAACACCCTGTGAGGCAGGTAGCCCAGGCAAGCCCAACAGAACCATTGCAGACTCCAGCAATCCCAGTAGAACCACAAACCAATGAGACAAGCCAAACAGAACCATAATCAAACCACAGAATCTCTCTAGTGGAAACTCAAGGTAGGGGGGGCACGTTTGCAAGCCCAACAGAACCATTATCTGTACGAAAGCTAAGCAGGGCCAATCCTGGCAAGTACTTGGATGGGAGACCTCCTTGGAATACCAGGGCTGGGACGCAGAGGCAGGCAAATAGCAAGCCACTTCTCTGAAATGTCATAGCCCCACTAGGGGTTGCCAGAAGTCACCATGACTCTCAGGCACGCAAGCACGCACACAAGATAAACTACACGCCCCAAAAAAGCACCTTCAGCCTGTGCCAGGAAGGACAGCATAATCACAGAATGGCTGATGCAGCCTTAGAAAGTGAACTTGCAGGCTGAGGCATGCAGACGTTAGAGGACAAAAACGGCTCGCACAGTCAGCGCTCTTGTGAGTCCTCTTTTGAGCATTATATCAGCTGACTGAAGGTTGCTGGGGTTCAAAGAAGACACACGACACAGGTCTGTAGGAAGCTGAGCTGACTGTTCTCACTTCACAGCTGTTATTTATTGAACATCTCCTCACTCCTTCCCCCTCCTTTACATTAACAATGACATCGTCATTCTTAACATGATCCACCACATTCAGGAATCTGTTATGCTAACAGAGCACTCTCTTATCTTTCCGGGCTCTCTGCCAAGTGACTTCAATCTCATGAAGTCAGGAGATGCTACCTCGTGCACTAAGCACTCACCTTCTTGGGTTTCCAATCTCCAGGCAGGAGAAGTGCTTTCTGGGCTTGCCACAGATAAACACTGTTCCTACAGCTGAGCAAAAACAGGAACTCAGCGCTGCTCCCTGTTCTCCCTCAGTCGGAAAATATTCAAAAAGTGCCCCTTTGGGCACCTTTTCCTTCCCATTATTCCCAGGTTTTCTTTCAAGGTATTCCGACTGGACTCAAGGTAGGCCAGGATAATGGAAACCAACTGGGGGGCAAACACTCACGCTGAATTTCAGGGTACTTCATCAGCAGCAGGAGGCCCCAGCGTAGCGCCGTGGAAGTGGTCTCTGTGCCGGCAGCGAACAAGTTGCCCACCAGTTCCTTCAGGTTTTCATTGTTGAAAAACCCATCAGTCTTACCCTCCTGTGGGGATAAGAAGAAAGTAACGATTTCTAGCCAGTGACCAGCCTTGCAGGAAACGGGTGTGGCCCAGTAATCACCCGGTCCTGATCTGCCCCTTTGTGGGCCAAGTGACTGAGGCAGCAGCGGCAGACCCAACTCCAGGTCCTCCGGGATGGCCCATCTGCTGCAGACCCTTTTCAGTTTGCCTTCCGGCCAGACGCCATCCAAGTGTCAGCAAAGGCCACGTCCCCTTCTGCCTCTTACTGGAATCACCTACAGCCAGGGGTCATTCCGTAGAAAAAGAGGTGCAGGAGCTCATTTGCACAACCCATTTGCGTATGCCACACCCCCGGGCCAGGGGCAGGCATGCAAGCATGCCTGGGTTCCCTACCTGATCTTCTCCAGGTGACCCACGGCTGCGGGGCACCTGGAGGAGGAGGAGGAGGAGAAGAAGAAGAGGAGGAGGAGGAGGAGATTGGATTTATACCCCGCCCTTCACTACCCAAGGGAGTCTCAGAGCGGCTTACAAACACCTTTCCCTTCCCATCCCCACAACAGACACCCTGTGAAGTAGGTTGGGCTGAGAGAGCTCTCTAGAGACCTGCTTTTTCAAGAACAGCTCTGACAGCACTATGGTTTGCTCAAGGTCATCCAGCCAGGTGCAAGTGGAGGAGTGGGGAATCAAACCCAGTTCTCCCAGATTAGAATCCGCGCACTTAACCACTACACCAAACTGAAGATCGGGCAGAGAACCCTGGCATGTTTAGAAGGGAAAGAAAGGCAGTTAATCCCCCCCCCCCAATTCCCCAAGCTTCTCCACAAAAGTGGAGAGGCTCAGGGAAAAGGGGGGGCATGTCTGCCTGCCTCCCCTTCCCCTCCCTAGCCAACCCTGGCTGGCTGGAGAAGGGAAGGGAAGGCAGGCAGACATGCCTGGGTTCCCTGCCCGATCTTCTCCAGGTGCAGGGAACCTAGGCATATTGAGAATGTATTTCTTTCCCTTCCCAGATGGGGAACGGAAAGAAAGGTATTTAAATCCCCGCAGGCAGGGGGGGGCTCTGCAGGCCTTCCCTGGGCTCCTTACTGCTGGAGGACCATTCTGCCGCGATACGGCAGGAAATGATCCCTGCCTACAGCCTTTGATACAGCAGATCATACCATCTTACAGAGGCACCTGGAGGCAGAAGCAGGTACCAGGGGAATGTGCACTGAACTGGTTCAAATCATTCCTCATGGTTCAAACCCAGAGGGTTCTGCTGTTGGAAACCAGCTGTAGCAGACAGCCCGACCCGTCCCCGTGAGCCCCAACTGGTGTCTGGTGGCCTCCGGCAGCCCAGCCAGAAGTAAACACGGCTAGGACTGAGGAGGCAGGCTGACACTGATGGGGGTGACGGGGGTGGGGAGAGGGCATCTGAGTGCGGGAGGAGTGGAAGGGAGGATCAAGAAGGAAGGGCGTGACAGCAGCCAGGAAGACAGCGTTGGCAGAGCGGAGCCCATAAGCAACAGAAGCGGCCGCAGCCGTGTACACGGGCTCAGGACTGGCAAGGCCGGAAGTGCCAGGAGCAACCACCGAGGGAAGTGCTGAAGGTGCCGGGGGTGAGGCTGTAGACATGGGGGGGGGGGCAGCTGCTGAGAGGGAAGCACTGGAGGTACCGGGACCCGCACAGATGCAAGGGGGGGGGGCACAGATAGGGGAAGTGGCTGATGAGGCTGCTGGGCCAGTGAGACGACAGCTAGAGAGCCTGCTCTGTGGAGGCTCCAAGGAGAGCAAACGGGCTGCTGCAGCAGCTGGGAAGAGCCAGAACAGTTCCCAGAGAGCCTTATAGGCAATGGGAGACTGCAGTAAAGGAGGGGACTTGGGGCACGAGGGCCTTAGAGCTGTATACGGGGGGGGGGGGCGGGGGAACAACCATAAGGGCCATTCTCCATCTGGAATTCGCTCCACTTTTTCTCCGCACTCGACCTGGTTCCCCCTTGCTTTGGAATATCTGTTATTGGCTTCAGCTTGTAAGGGGGGTGTTTGAACCTAGTATAATTCAGGGTGCCATTCTGTTCCCGGGCATTAAAACAAGCAGTATACGTGTCTTAGTCCTGGTGTACCAATAAACAGAATTCTTCTTCTGAAGCCCTGTGTTGTGTGACCTGACTATGGAACCCTGACAACTGGCTGACTTGTTTTCAGTTCCCTTCCTAATAATCCCCAGCATAGCGTTGGCCTTTTTTAAACTGCAGTCGCACACTGTCTCGACATTTTCATTGGGTTATCTACTATGACTCCAAGATCTCTCTCTTAGTCAGTCTCTGCCAGTTTGCACCCCATCAGCAATGAAGAAGAGGAGGGAGGAGGAGGAGGGAGAAGGAGGAGATTGGATTTATACCCCGCCCTTCACTACCCAAAGTAGTCTCAGAGCACCTTACAAATCTCCTTCCCCTTCCCCTCCCCACAACAGACACCCTGTGAAGTAGGTGGGGCTGAGGGAGCTCTCTGAGGGCTTTTCTACAGAAGTAATAGGGTTGCACTGTACAAAACGGGTTGCAAATTTACTTAATAAGGGACAGTGGTACATTCTACTATGTACAGCGTACTGTAAATAGGATCCTACTATGTAATTTTTGCACTGTTTAAAGTGTCGTGTTAATACTTGTGGCCTTGCTTCGGTTCTGTCTTTCAGGTCTCTGGTCGGTTCCAGACTTCTCCAGTCCTAGTCCTATTGCATTGTTACCTGGATGTCCCGTTTTGTGGACTGTATCAACTCACCCTATGTTGGAACACTTTCCCTATGAGGAAAGGTTAAAGCGCTTGGGGCTCTTTAGCTTGGAGAAAAGACGACTGAGGGGTGACATGATCGAGGTTTATAAGATTATGCATGGGAAAGAGCAGGTCGAGAAAGAGGTACTTTTCTCCCTTTCTCACAATACAAGAACTCGTGGGCACTCCATGAAACTGCAGAGCGGTCGGGTTAGAACGGATAAGAGGAAGTACTTCTTCACCCAAAGAGTGATTAACACATGGAATTCACTGCCACAGGAAGTGGTGGGTGCTACAAGCATGGACGGCTTCAAAAGGGAATTAGATAAGCATATGGAGCAGAGGTCCATCAGTGGCTATTAGCCACAAGGTATAGATAGGGGCTCTGGGGAAAGTGATGCTCTGTCTTCTTGGTGCTTGGGTGGGGGTCAACAGTGGGAGGGCTTCTAATGTCCTGGCCCCACTGGTGGACCTCCTGATGGCACTGGTATTTCTGGCCACTGTGTGATACAGAGTGTTGGACTGGATGGGCCTTTGGCCTGATCCAACATTGGCATCTCTTATGTTCTTATGTTCTTAATCGCCTTGAGTTCCCGTGAGAAAGGCATACTATAAATAACATCAATACATTTTTTAAAAATTCACGTGCAAAACATACATTTAAAACTCAGGTGTTAAAATCCCACACGCGGCTACTGATACATTAAAAGATGGTGTTGTTACCTCCTGCTGCCGGATAAGGAATGAATCGATGAAGGTTCTCTGGTCATTTGCATCCAATTCCTGAAGGCGTTCTAGGAAGGCGGTCTGGATGAAGTCCTGCACTTCAGTTTTGTTTTTCATGATAATCTTGGAACCCCCAAAAAGGAAGCCCAGGGCAGGGAACATGATATGCAACTAAAAGAATAAAATATAAGCAAGAGGGAAACAAAAATGAATGGCACCTCTCAGGCAGAAACCTCAGAGTGTTTTCACTCCGATATCTTTGCTTATTTTCTACAAAGGAGTAACGAATGACACAGAAGGATGACACAATCAGCTGGGAACTGTGTTTCGCAAGTGCCCTGGGGCCCAGCAGACTTCATCCACACACCTGTGCGCAATCTTCACATCTCTCTGTCCCTCTTCCTCCGGCCCTCATAACACCTAACGGTTAATTCTAGAACTGTCAATGGGAAAACTCTTATTAATTTGAGTGTGGAAACGAGCGGATGAAGTGAGAGCATGGTTATGCTCTAACTTGGACAAGGAAGTTGAGACGACATCTCTCTTTCCCACCCCCCCTCAGTATCCCATGTGTACAGGCCTCGCTGAAACGGCTCCAAATCCAGAAACCGTTCGTATATCTTATACCACCCTGACGTCATTTTCCTCAGGTGACATGGAGCTGGGGGAGGGGGCGTTACTTGCCCCATTGGAGAGCACCTCTTGGTTGGGAAGAGGGTGGGAGGGAGGAGCACCTTCTTCCCCTGTGCTGTGTGGTCCCAAGCCAAACTGGGCCTCTGTGACACTGCTGAAAGGAATCCCCACCAGGAACTTCTAGCTACAGTTTGAATATCAGTCCCCGTGGTGAACTTGTGGGCTCCTAGTTCTGTCCTAACAAAGGAAGGAGGCATGCAGAGAAAGGAGAACCGACAACAGACACGGAGGAGGTATGGGTAGTAGTGAGGCAACTGAACCTCTAGCCTCTGAGCACCAGATTTAGGTTTGCCTGCCCCAGGTTGAGAAATTCCTGGGGAGGGCGGCATCTGGGGAACTGCGTGAGTCGGCGGCGATGCAGTGCCACCGAGTTCACCCTTCAATGCAACCGTTTTCTTCAGAGGAACTGATCTTTGCTGTCTGGGGTTGTAAATCCGGGGGAACTCCGGGCTCCACCTGGAGTCTGGCAACCCTAGAAGCAAATGCTCTAGCAAATCCTTGAACAGATTTTAAAATGGAAGAGTTACCAGGACTGAAGGACTCCCCAAAAGCTGGTCACTTTCACTGAACAAGCTCAGCAGTCTTAGAAACATGGGATCTTCATATTCAAATCGTTTACCAAATAGTATCGATACTATAATATTGGCAACGGCAGCATTCATAATTGCGGTGTTCTCAAATGGTTTTCCTACACCAATTAAAAAAGAGAGAGGGGATAGTCGATTAGGGAATGATGTTACTATTGCCATTGCCTTTCTCTGCCTTAGGACCCCCCAAGAACATAAGAACATAAGATAAGCCAATGTTGGATCAGGCCAAAGGCCCATCCAGTCCAACACCCTGTGTCACACAGTGGCCAAAAATACCAGGAGCCATCAGGAGGTCCACCAGTGGGGCCAGGACATTAGAAGCCCTCCCACTGTTGACCCCCCCCAGCACCAAGAAGACAGAGCATCACTTGCCCCAGAGTCCCTATCTATTTGTTGTTGTTCAGTCGCACAGTCGAGTCCGACTCTTCACGACCCCATGGACCAGCTCCCGCCAGGCCTTCCTGTCTTCCGCCGTCCTCTGAAGTTTGCTCAATTTCATGTTCGTTGCATCTATGACACTGTCTAACCATCTCATCCTTTGCCGTCCCCGTCTTCTTTGACCTTCAATCTTTCCCAGCATCAGGGTCTTCTCCAGAGAGTGCTCCCTTCTCATTTGGTGGCCAAAGTATTTGAGCTTCAGTTTCATTATCTGGCCTTCCAGGGAACAGTCAGGGTTGATTTCTTTGAGGATTGACTGATTTGATCTCCTTGCAGTCCAAGGGACTATCTTCTCCAGCAGCACCATAATTCAAAAGAATCTATTATTCGGCGTCAGTCTTCCTTATGGTCCAACTCTTGCAGCCATACATTACTACTGGGAATACCATTGCTTTGACCATGCAGACTTTTGTTGGCAGGGTGATGTTTCTACTTTTTATCGTGCTGTTTAGGTTCACCATCGCTTTCCTCCCAAGGAGCAGGCGTCTTTTAATTTCATGGCTGCAGTCACAGTCTGCGGTGATCTGGGATCCCAGGAACGTGAAGTCTGTCACTACTTCCACAGCTTCCCCTTCTATTTGCCAAGGAGTGATGGGACCGGATGCCATGATCTTAGTTTTTTTGATGTTGAGCTTCAAGCCCACTTTTGCGCTCTCCTCTTTTACTCTGAGCAAGAGGCTCTTTAGATCCTCTTCACTTTCAGCCATTAGAGTGGTATCATCTGCATATCTGAGGTTGTTGATCTTTTCCCCAGCAATCTTAATTCCCGCTTGTGATTCATCCAGGCCAGCATTTCGCATGATGTACTCTGCATATATATTAAATAAGCAAGGTGACAATATACATCCTTGTCGTACTCCTTTTCCTATGCTGAACCAATCAGTTGTTCCATATCCGGTTCTAACTGTCGCTTCTTGGCCCTTATACAGGTTTCTCAAGAGACATGTGAGGTGGTCTGGTACTCCCATCTCTTTAAGGACCTGCCATAGTTTGTTGTGATCCACACAGTCAAAAGCTTTAGCATAGTCAATGAAGCAGAAGTAGATATTTTTCTGGTACTCTCTTGCTTTCTCCATAATCCAGCGAATGTTGGCAATTTGATCTCTAGTTCCTCTACCTCTTCGAAACCCAGCTTGTACTTCTGGTAGTTCTCTATCCACGTACTGTTGAAGCCTAGCTTGTAGGATCTTGAGCATGACCTTGCTAGCGTGTGATATGAGTGCAATTGTGCGATAGTTTGAACATTCCTTGGCATTGCCCTTCTTTGGGATTGGAATGTATACTGATCTTTTCCAATCCTGTGGCCACTGTTGCGTTTTCCAAATTTGCTGGCAAATGGAGTGCAGAACTTTAACAGCATCATCTTCTAAGACTTTGAATAGCTCAGCTGGAATACCATCACCTCCACTAGCTTTGTTGTTAGCAATGCTTTCTAAGGCCCATTTAACTTCACATTCCAGGATGTCTGGCTCGAGGTCAGTGATTATACCGTCGTGGTTGTCAAGGACATCGAGGTCTTTCTTGTATAGTTCTTCTGTGTATTCTTGCCATCTTTTCCTAATCTCTTCTGCTTCTGTTAGGTCCCTACCGTTTTTGTCCTTTATCATGGCCAGCTTTGCATGGAACGCTCCCTTGATTTCTCCAATTTTCTTGAAGAGATCTCTAGTCCTTCCCATTCTATTGTTTTCTTCTATTACTTTGCACTGTTCATTCAGGAAGGCCTCCTTATCTCTCCTTGCTGTTCTCTGGAAATCTGCGTTCAGTTGGGTAAATCTTTCCTTTTCGCCTTTGCCTTTCGCTTTCCTTCTTTCCTCTGCTATTTGTAAAGCCTCATCAGAAAGCCACTTTGCTTTCTTACATTTCTTTTTCTTTGGGATGGTGGTGATTGCTGCCTCCTGTACGATGTCACGAACCTCTGTCCATAGTTCTTCAGGCACTCTATCTATCAAATCCAGACCCTTGAATCTATTCTTCACCTCTACTGTATATTCATCAGGGATGCGATCTAGGTCAAACCTGAATGGCCTCGTGGTTTTCCCAATTTTCTTCAGTTTAAGTCTGAATTTTGCAATGAGTAGCTCATGATCTGAACCACAGTCAGCTCCAGGTCTTGTTTTTACTGACTGGATAGAGCTTCTCCATCTTTGACTGCAAATTATATAGTCAATCTGATTTCGGTGTTGCCCATCTGGTGATGTCCATGTGTAGAGTCGCCTCTTAGGTTGTTGGAAAAGGGTGTTCGCTATGACCAGTGTGTTCTCTTGACAAAACTCTGTTAACCTTTGCCCTGCTTCATTTTGCTTTCCAAGGCCAAACTTGTCTGTTATTCCAGTTACCTTTTGACTTCCTACTTTAGCATTCCAGTCCCCTATGATGATGAGGACATCATTTTTTGGTGTTAGTTCTAGGAGGTGTTGTAGGTCTTCATAGAACCGGTCCACTTCAGCCTCTTCTGCATCAGTGGTTGGGGCATAGACTTGGATTACTGTGATGTTGAATGGTTTGCCTTGGAATCGGACAGAAATCATTCTGTCATTTTTGAGATTGTATCCCAGTACTGCCTTTTGCACTCTCTTGTTGACTATAAAGGCCACACCATTTTTTCTACGAGATTCCTGGCCACAGTAGTAGATATAATGGTCTTCTGAGTTAAATTCGCCCATTCCTGTCCACTTTAGTTCACTGATTCCTAGGATATCGATGTTCAGTCTTGCCATCTCATTTTTGACCACGTCAAGCTTACCTTGATTCATAGATCTTACATTCCAGGTTCCTATGCAGTATTGTTCTTTGCAGCATCGGACTTTCCTTTCACCATCAGACACATCCACAACTGAGCGTCCTTTCGGCTTTGGCCCAGCCGCTTCACTCTTTCTGGGGTTACTTGTACTTGTCCTCTGCTCTTCCTCAGTAGCATATTGGACACCTTCCGACCTGAGGGGCTCATCTTCCGGCGTCATATCTTTTAGCCTTTTGATACTGTCCATGGGGTTTTCTTGGCAAAAATACTGGAGTGGGTTGCCATTTCCTTCTCCAGGTGGATCACGCTTGGTCTGAGTTCTCTGCTGTGGCCTGTCCGTCTTGGGTGGCCCTTCACGGCATAGCCCACAGCTTCATTGAACTGCGCAAGCCCCCTCGCCACGACAAGGCAGTGATCCATGAGGGGCCACAAGTGATGGGCCACTACATAAAAGTGCCTAACATCTGGTGACACTCTGGACAAAACTCTATGGTAGAATTAGCTTCAAACCATAGAGTTTTGCCCCCAAAACAGAGTGTAGCCCCCACGATGTCACCAATATGTGTATGTCACTTTCGGGTGATGTAGGCACGTCACTGACACAACCCTCTGTGGTTGATTAGAAGAAGAAGAGGAGGACGAGATTGGATTTATACCCCGCCTTTCACTACCCAAAGGAGTCTCAGAGCGGTTTACAATCTCCTTTCCCTTCCCCTCCCCACAACAGACACCCTGTGAGGTGGGTGGGGCTGAGAGAGCGCTTTCCAGAACTGACTTTGAGAGAACAGCTCTGACAGCACTACGGCTTGCCCAAGGTCATCAGGAGTGGGGAATCAAACCCGGTTCTCCCAGATTAGAGTCTGCACACTTAACCACTATACCAAACTGATACAGTTACTAGCAGGGCCGGCCCGAGGAGTTTCTGCGCCCTAGGCGACGCTAGCTTGTGGCTCCCGCGCCCCCCCCAGGTGAGGCTGTCTTGTGCCCCCCCAGCGCCGATGACAAAGGAATATGATGGTTTCCAGGCTAACTTTTGCCTTCCTTTGGGGGACTTTCTGCACTCATAAGTAATCGCAAAGAAAAAAATGCATTTTCCACCCCCTCTCCTTTGGGCACAAAAGGCCTCTTCCCCAAACCCCATCGCCTCTTTTCCCCCAAACTGCACGCCTCTCTCCCCAGCCGGGGACAGAGCATTGCACACCGTCGCACGCATGCACACAGAAAAAGATTTTGGAGCCTACCCGCTTTTCCCCGAAGCCACCCAAACCTTCCTGCCGCTGCAACTAAACCCAAAGGTGAAGGGGGGGGAGGCAGACACGCGGCAAGCCACACAAACGCCACTGCAATCGAAGGGGGGGGGAATGTTGGAGGCTGGCAGAGGAAAGGGAAGCGGTATGCGTGACTGGGCATGGGTGTGGGGGTGCGCGCTACGAGTAGAGACCGACTTCTCAGGCACAAGGCAAACATTTCCCGTTTGGAGTGCTCTCTCCTGGCTTGATGGCCCGGTGCAGCCCCAGACTTTTTTGGGAGGGACCCCATTTCCTTCTCCTCTCCATTGGCCCTCCTGGTTAGCGCTCCAGATCTTCTTGGTTTTTTCCTCCTTCCGAGCCCGGCCAGTCCCTCAGGATCCCCCCTCCCCCCACTGCTCGCCTCTTCTCTCCTCGGCCTCCTGAAAATAAAACGATGCAAAGCACCGCACTCGCCACCGAAGGAGGAGGCGCTGGAGGCAGCGGGTCCATGAACCGGCCCAACCCTCAGTCCCCGGACGCAGAGGCAGGGCTGGGGGCGGGACTGGCCCACGGAACCACCTGCCACTGCAGCCCCCGGCCGCAGAGGTGGGCCAGGTGCAGTTTGGCACTCCTAAGGGCCGGCGCGCTCTAGGAGAACGCCTAGTTCGCCTAGTGAGCGAGCCGGCCCTGGTTACTAGAATTCTTTTTTGGGGAAAGTCATGGCTATAAATCATTAAAAATCAATTTGTTTCGCAGTGAAGACAGAGCAGAAAGGAAACACCAACTCACCTTCATAAGATTCAAATCTCTTTATCAGGAAACCACACTCCTCAATAATCCTGTCCTCAATGGTCTTCTTGCCCACTCCGTAGTCCCGTAAGGTGGCTATCGTAAACCGCCGCATCACTCTCCAGTTCTCACCGTGTGCAAGAAGAATGCCTGAATGGAAGTGCAGGCCAGATTTCAAATTGGTGTGGCTATTCCAGTTGATTAAGACAGGTACCTTTGAGGACTTGTTGGGAAGAGGAAATGCCAACCGCCCCCCCAGTTATTTGGTCTTCCCTCTCTCCCTCCAGTCTCTTACCCAGTATTTCTCCCCTCCTCTTCCTTCCTGCCTGTTCGTCTCCTCAGCCCTGCCCAGTGGTGTGGGAGGAGGTAGAGGAGGTAAGCCCGTACCCCCTCCCCTCACATGCTTATCACAGCCATTGCCACCATATTATCACAGCCATTGCAACCCTAAGCAGCTAAGCCTTCTTGTCTTGTTCCCCAGCCTCATCTACTAAAAGCCCAGCAACCTGCATGTTCCCATAGGCCTCCCTGAACTCCCTTCTCCTGAACTCCCATTTACAAACCCAGGATAGGAATTATCTGTCCCCAGCTGCAGTTTCCCACCCCTGAGGAAACTGAGGAGTGGGATAAATAAAACAGCATCCACAGTGACACTCTGGGGATGTCCCCTCCTTTCTATTGTTCAGGCCACAGAAGATGAAGGGGAGCTGCCTAGAGCACCACCCAGAAGTGACATCACATCCTTCTCAAACCCCGGCAACCCCAGGCACCACCCACAAAATCTTTCAGCACTTTCTGAGGAGGTGATGGAGGAGATGGGTGGTGGTGGTCAGTGGTAAGCAAGTAGAACAGGAGGTCTGGTGCCTTTCCCCACATGTACCACTTGAGGTAACCACCTCAGATGATCTCACTGTACAGCCACATCCTTGGCCGCTGTTGTTTCCTTCACCTCAGTTACCCACAGTTACCATCCTCACAATTTTACCATCTCTACAGATTCCCACAACTATTTATGGCAACCCTCCACCCATCTGCCACTCTTTAAAGCCCTCTCCCCTCCTGTAGGACACTGGTCCCACCAAACACCCATCAAGGTGGACTATGTGGTCCTGCATTTACTATACTTTGATTCATGATTTCTTGGGATACCCTAGTTTAGGCCTGTTGTTTAAATGGGGCAAAATACCAGGGCCTGAATGCAATTGTGGTGCGGCCCACCAAACTATTTTCCATCTGTCACAGGAATGTGAGCATTGTGCTTTCCAGGGAGATGTGATGGAGCTCTCTGAACTCTCCCCAGCTGCAAGTGAGTGGATTGAAAATTTAGGGGGATTGCCCAGTCTGTCTGCATAACTTTTGTATCTACTTGGTTACGTATTTTATATTATTATATGCTTCCTGTGTGTAACTCTGCCATATGATAAATAAATAAATAAGCCCTGGAAGACCAACAAACAAGAGTATAAAGATCCAGCATAGATGTTACCTCCTAGCACTGTTTCGAGAGTTTTATCTGCCTTCTCTTCAGTTATTATGGTTAATAGCCACTAACGGACTTATCCTCCCCCCTGAATTTGTCTTATCCCCTTTCTGAGTCATCTGTGCTCACATCCATTGTTACATTCACTGGCAGTGAATCCCCCAGTTTAATTAAAGGTAAAGGTAAAGGTTTCCCTTGCTCGAAAGCCAGTCAAATCCGACTCTAGGGTTGCAGTGTTCATCCCTGCTTCAAAGCCGGAGCCAGCGCTGTCTGAAGACATTTCCGTGGTCATGTGGCCGGCATGACTAAACACCAGGGCGCACGGAACGCTGTTACAGTTTAATTACTCAATGAGTAAAGAAATATTTCCTTTTGTCTGTCCTGAATATGTTGTCCACTTCATTGGGTGTCTTTGGGTTCTAGTAAAGTGGGAGAAAAACTTCTCACTCTTCATTTTGTCCACCCAAAGCATAATTTTAATGGGTGGCACAGAGATAAGTTAATGGCTACAGGTCTTCACAACAGAGTTGAAAAATTAGCAAGGTACTCGTAAGCTCTGGTTTAAGTACCCTAGTCCTTTAGATTGGGGGTATCTCCTACAACAACATTTGATACGGACTTTCCATGGTTATGCTTCATATATAGACTCAAATACAATGATTTAAAGGGGCAGCAGTATGATAATGATACAATACAGACAAGACACTGCAATAATGCACACAATGCAAAAATACTATAATACTATGATATGATATATGTTCACTTCATGATGTTTTAATCTTTGTTTCACAAACAGGACGTCATCAAACGGTCAGTGAAGACGTCAAGATAAATGGAAGGACGAACTTCCCCGGAGCTACCGCTCGTTTCGATAATTCTTTTTCATACAATGGTCTCCTATCAAAAATAGACAATGCTCATAATAGGGAACCACCCCGCCACTACATTTCACGATTCAACAATATTAAAAGGAATACATACAGTTCTGCATCCGTACATTACAAAGCCACAATAGGAACCTCACCGTGACCCTTCACAATTTCTTCAAGCACTTGGAAGAAGGGCCTCTCAGCAAAAGCCTCGGCCTGGTTCACCAAAGCCTCCTTTACAGTCTCATACCCTGTCAGCAATACCATTTTCTGGGATCCCACTTGAAGGCTGAACACAGGCCCATACTGTTTGGATAACTGAAAAGTAAATGAAAAAAGGGAGAAACATCATCCTGGTCTTCTGAGTCACTCACAATCCCTCACAGAACCAAGACAGCAATTCCAGACTCATCATTTGACCAGTCTTGAACTCCTTTTTGACTGATTGCTTCAATTATTTTTGTACTACTGCAATGATTCCTTGTTTTATATGTGTGTGTGTCTCTTTAAAAGTTTGGTTGCATGGCTGTGTGATAGACTAGAGTGCTTGAAGAGACAAGTGTGGTGTGATTGGTGATTGACAGAGAGGGGGAGGGGTTTTGGAAGTGTTTCTGAGTGGATGAATATGTATGTCTGTCAAGAGTGACAGTGACAGTTTTGACAGTTGAGAAAGACAGTTGTTAAGTAGTTGGTTCTGAAGTCTGTGGGAGAAGCAGTCTTGTGTGTGATATAGGAGTTAGTTCGGTGTATGGAAAAAGTTGAATGTATATGAAAGTCTGAGTGACAGACTAGAGAGATACAAGAAATGTAGATGACCTTGAGTTAAAGTTACAAAGTTACCTGAAAAATTCCTGACAGAAAGGGAGCAGAGCTTGTGTTGGACACCAAACAATTTATCAGAATATTCACATTACCAGTTACTTTGTTATACCTTTTTATTTATGAAGTATTTCAATAAAACTACTTTTATTTAAGCATACCAGCTGAAAGGAATCTTTCCTCAAGAACACTTAGTACCTCGAAAAGCCTTAAACTCGACCTACCTACCCAGTAATAGAAAGAGTAAAAGCATAAAGGTTTGGAAATCCTTTTAAAATTTCCTGGTGGCAGCCGGATATACCCAGTAGAACAAAACATAAAAGAACACTTTTAAAGGGAAACCAGACCTCCCCAGATAAGAGGTCGTCACAACTACCTCCCAGCCAACATGAAGTGTGGACAGTGTTGCCAACAGGCCTAGAGGGGGAAAATGTCCTATCCCTTCAACAGAGTCTTATCTACCAGGTAATGTTATTTACCTCCATGCCACGAAAAGTTTCCACTGCCCATTTGCACACATTATTAAAGGGATGGGACATTTTTATCCAGGCCTGTTGGCAACCCTGTGTATGGATAACGCATACACAAATATACAAGCATTTTTTAAAAAAAAAACCCTACGAAAACTGGCAAGATCAATAAAGGAAACAGCAGTCAATAGAATAGTGAAATACCACCAATACAAATGTTAGTCTTTAAAGAAATGTACTATTCATTCAGGCGGGTAGCCGTGTTGGTTTGATGCTTGTTCTGTACTATTTATTGTTATTAAAATATCTATAGATTGCTTTTCCCCATGGAGTGGGTCAAGGTTTAGAAATCCTGCAATCCAATAGGAAAAAAGAGGGCCTGATGGGTTCAATTTTGAGAGGAAGTGGGAGAGAAAGTCTGGAAGAAGCCAGTGAGGAAGAAAGCTGAGGTGAAAAAGCGCTGTGCTTTCTACTGCTGGAGAAGTGCATCTGTTCTAGAGAAGGATTGGCTAAGAAGCAGCTAGGCAGTAGAGTAGGGATTTGACTCTGACAGCCAGACTTTGACTCTGACAGCCAGACTTCAGGAGCAGTGGGATTTGTTTTCCGGGCAGGCTGGGCCATGATTCAGATCGGGACTACAGTACAGGGGGAGTAGGGGCTCCCCCCCCCAAAAAAAAATCCCCCCTCAGGTTACTATTTGTCCAGCGGATGGCACCAACAGCAACTCCCTAAAGCTCTTTCTGGTTGGCTGCCTAGACCCCAGAATGTGGCTCTGCTGGGACGTTGCCCTTCTGGAGTTTGTGATCAGAACCCATAGATTAACAGTACAATCCTAAGCAAACTCACTCCCTTCTAAGTACATTGACTTCAAGTGGCCTTGAAAGAGCATAACTCTGCTCAGAATGGCTCTGTCTTTGGGGCTACACAAGGTATTTGGGGCTACACAACGTGGCTGGGGCTCTTGTCCTGAACAGCCTTCAAAGGCAGCTCTGGACCGTAAAGTCCACCACACATTTGCAGTAGTGATCAGAGTGAGGATGAACTTGACCAGATCTTGTTTTTTCCAGGGAGGGAGGCAATTGCCAGTCCAGCTAAAGTTGGTAACAACAGGCACTGCAAATGTCCGTCTGCAGCAACAGATACAGCATAGCATCCCCAACTTTTTTTCTTTTTTTTAGCCATCAAGTCACAGCCAACTTATGGCGACCCCTCAGGCTTTTCAAGGCAAAAGACATTCAGAGGTGGTTTGCCATCGCCTGCCTCCACATAGCCAGTCCGGTGTTCTTTGGTGGTCTCCAATCCAAATCCTTGGCTATCGAGGTTAGAACACTGCCACCAATGTTCCCTCTAAACTGTGGAGTCTTGTGAGCAAAGATTCTACTTTGTGAGCTACTGGCTTTAAAGTTGTGAGCCAGTGATTTGGCTGCTGCATCAATTAGTTTGCTCTGGAGCCATCCCTTCCTGAGCCGAGACAAAAATGTGTGAGCCGGAGGCTACAAAACTGTGAGCTAGCTCACACTAACTAGGCTTAGAGGGAACACTGACTGCCACTCTACCAACTCCATGGTTCAGGGTGAAACAGCAAAGCATTACAGAAGCAAGAATGAGAGAGAGACAGATGTTTTTGTCATTACACACATTGCAGCCAGCACTTGGGGGCGTGCCCCTGCCCTGCCAGTTCTCCCTGCCCAGCAAGAAGATCAATATAACGCGGGGATCTACGACTGCCACCCGAACAAGACTAGCAAAAAAGTTTACCTGGGCCATGGTTCCGTAAGGCCTCTTGTGATCGAGGAGGAGGAGATTCCCAATAAAAGGCATCGGTCTCGGTCCTGGGGGGAAATCCTGGCAGCCGCCGTTCCAGAAGCGGCCCATACTGCCACTCTACCAACTCCATGGTTCAGGGTGAAACAGCAAAGCATTACAGAAGCAAGAATGAGAGAGAGACAGATGTTTTTGTCATTACACACATTGCAGCCAGCACTTGGGGGCGGGCCCCTGCCAGTTCTCCCTGCCCAGCAAGAAGATCAATATAACGCGGGGATCTATGACTGCCACCCGAACAAGACTAGCAAAAAAGTTTACCTGGGCCATGGTTCGGTAAGGCCTCTTGGGATCGAGGAGGTGGAGATTCCCAATAAGAGGCATCGGTCTCGGTCCTGGGGGGAAACCTTGGCAGCCGCCGTTCCAGAAGCGGCCCATTTTCAAAAGAAGCGTCATCGTAAGGACGGACAGGAAAAATAGGGCAAAAAAAAACCATCCAGTCCATTTCCTGCCGACGAAAAGTTTTCCGAAGTGACAGCGGATCGTGATCAAGCCCAGCCTGACCGGCTAGACGAGTTGCAAGGAGATACACGACTGCATAAAAGTAGTAGTGCGACACTGTACAGGAGACTTGAGACACGGACTGGCTTGTGCTCAGCCCTAGTGAATCGGGCGCAGCTCTCCTCTGCCACAGAAGGCCTCCGGGCTCCCTTCTGAGCGGGCGGCGTCTCGCTCCTCAAACGAAAACGTTGCAACTTGCCGAACTAATGTGGGCTCTTAGGACTACAACGCGCCAAGTCTCTCCCTCCTCCCCGCTCTGCTGTCAGAGCTCCCGCGAGGGCCTGGAGCGGACACAGGGGTTTACAAAATCCCCCGCGGCCCCACCAGCTGGCTCCCCGGTCCTGGGAACCCAAGCGGGGCCTCCACCTCCCTTTGCTCTCGTGCAAGAGGGAAGGAGCAGCAGTGGAATGCGCGGCAGTGGCCTCGGCTGCCTAGGGAGATGGTGAGCTTTCCCTCATGGGCAGTCTTTAAGCAGCGCTGGACAAACCCTTGTCAGGGACGCTTTAGGCTGCGCCTGCATTGAGCGGAGGGTTGGACTGGAGTCTGTAGGGCCCCTGTTCCAACTCTGTGATTCTATGAGATCCACTTCTACAGAAGCAATGCCGCCCTAAGCCAGCGACTGCAAGAAAACTACGACCCCCAAGTTCCCTAGCGGCACGAGGGGGGGGGGTGGCAGAGCGCCAGGAAGTTAAATACCAAAAGGAGGGCTGGGCTGAAGTGGCATGAACCGAGTCAGTCGGAGAAGGGGAGGCAAAAGTCAGGCTGTTGGGGCGGGGGGGGGGGAGGCTTGTGGGGGGGGGGGGGAAGGTGTGGGTGGGAGCGATCGTTGCTGTTCACAGAGAAAGATAAAAGAGGGATTTTAGGAGGAGCAGAAGTTTATATTTCTCTGGGAATGGAGGTCAGAGTGACATAGGGTTGCCAAGTCTGGGTTGGAAAATACCTGGAGACTTTGGGGGTGGAGCCAGGAGAGGGCGTGGTTTGGGGAGGAGAGAGGCCTCAACACAATACAATGCCATAGAGTCCAGCCTTCAAAGCAGCCATTTTCTCCAGGGGAGCTGATCTCTGTCTGCTGGGGATCAGTGGTAAAAGCAGGAGATCCCCAGGCCCCACCTGGAGGCTGGCAACCCTAGATCAGTGACAATTGATTCGGGTGGGTAGCCATGTTGGTCTGAAGCAGCAAAACAAAGTTGGAGTCCAGTGGCATCTTTAAGACCAGCCAAGTTTTATTGTGGGTATAAACTTTAGTGGTCTGTACATTCTTCACATGAAGAAAAGTTTAAGTCCAACAAAGTTTTATTCAAGGTATGAGCTTCCATGTGCAGGCACACTTCTTCAGATGCAATGAAATGGAAGTTACCAGTCCATACATATAGCTAGAGGGGGAGCAGCAAATTTGCATACAACATTACAAAAGATGCTTAACAAATGTAAGGGCAAAACTAGAATATGTTGTTGAAGACTTTTCATGGTTTCCAATCCTGAAAAACACATCTTACAACAGCACTACATATAAGATTAGAATTTCAACAGCCAATCCATATGCAAAAGAACCTCCTCAGGAAAGCTCCTCCATTAGCATGCCACAGCCTGGGAAACTCCTACAAGATAATGACTCGGCCCTACCCCACATTCCTGAGTAGATCTAAATTACCTGCCTACCATTTTTCTTCTCACCTTGACACAGACAGTACTCCATCTTTCTGTGTTATACCTCTGAGGATGCCAGTCACAGCTGGTGGTGAAACGTCAGGTATTACAGTGCCAAGACCACGGCCATACAGCCCGGAAAATCTACAATAACTAATAAAAAACTAGAATAACAAGTTTAGTTTATATAGTCACCATTTTTTGTGTGTAATCCTGAGGGAAACCATAGTGGGAATATATCAGAGCTGGAGATTGATGTGCAGATGTACCCTTAATTGTGGAGTGCTGAAAGTAATTAACTGAGACCCTGTTATGCTCCATCCATCTCCTCACAAGCACAAAGGTAATTTAACAGTGTCCCTTTCTTTGAGTTGGGGTGATTGGAGGAGGAGGAGGAGGAGAAGAGCAGGATTTATACCCCACCCTTCACTTGGATTCTCAGAGTGGCTTACAATCTCCTTCCCTTCCTCTTCCCACAACAGACACCCTGTGAAGTAGGTGGGGCTGAGAGAGCTCTGGGAGAACTCTTGAGAGAGCAGCTCAGAGAGAACTGTGACTGACCCAAGGTCACCCAGCGGGCTTCATGTGGAGGAGTGGGGAATCATACCCAGTTCTCCAGATTAGAGTCCACCACTTTTAATCACTACACCTCAATTTGAGAGCTAGAGAGTATACTTGATCCAGACAATAAGGGCATTTGCGTGCTTCTGCAGGAATTCTATCTTCCTTGCGCCTCAGCTGAGTCTAAGGTGTTACACCTTGCCAATAGAAAAGTTGATCTGAGCTTGTGAATTTCTAACCAGCAGAAATAGTCTGGCAAGGAAATTTTACCACTAAAGAGTGTCTGGAAGAAGACTGGAGAACATTTATGATTTGTGTCCTTGAGCACCAAGGACCATCTTCATTTAAGACCTTATTTTGAAACTTTTTACAGCTTTCTTTCCTAGTACTGTTCTTTGCAGCCTTAAGTTGCTCTATTGGGAGGGAAAGTCTTTAAATTTCTGCTCCAGGTGGACATAGAGGTATCTGAGATTAGGAGCTGAAACAAAACAGGAGCTATTGACGGCTCAAGAAGGGAAAACCAAAATTTAATGACAGATTGATAAATAATAGTAGACAGGTTTGAAAGCCACAGCTCTAATCGCAAGGTGGAGATACATCGTGGGCTAATAAAACTAGATTGTCTGCATATGCTAAATAAGGTGCAGACTGACCACTTGGCTGAGGAGAACAGGATTGATAGTCCTGGCTAGGAAGAAAATCATTTATATATAAATTAAATAAAAATGTGGTCAAAATGCAGCCCTGCCTAACACCTCTTCTTACCCTAATTGGGTTCGAGAGGGTGGAGCTACCTGGCATACAAACCTGAAGAATATTGTCAGAATATAGGATTCCTAAGAAGCGCCAGCAATCTGCCAGGCATACCCGTGTTAAAAAGTTTGTTCCAAAGTCTAACAAGAGATATAGAACTGAATGCACCACAGAGGCCAATAAACAAAGTGTAAAGTACACTGCCTGCAAGTTTATGTCTATGCTTTCAGCCTGCTGGCTAAATGGCTAGCATAATGCTTGCCTATAACAGAGAGCAAGCTTATAGGGCACTAGCTGGATCATCTTTTGTTCCTTTTTTGAAAAACGGAACTATAATTGCTAATTTCCAAATAAACATAAGAACATAAGAGAAGCCAATGTTGGATCAGGCCAATGGCCCATCCAGTCCAACCCTCTGTCACACAGTGGCCAAAAATACCATCAGGAGGTCCACCAGTGGGGCCAGGACACTAAAAGCTCTTTCACTGTTGCCCCCCCCACCCCCGCACCAAGAATACAGAGCATCACTTGCCCCAGAGTCCCTATCTATACCTTGTGGCCAATAGCCACTGATGGATCTCTGCTCCATATGTTTATCTAATTCCCTCTTGAAGCTGTCCATGCTTGTAGCCACCATCACCTCCTGTGACAGTGAATTCTTTGGGTGAAGAAGTACTTCCTTTTATCTGTTGTAACTCAGCTGCTCAGCAATTTCATGGAGTGCCCACAAATTCTTGTATTGTGAGAAAGGGAGAAAAGTACTTCTTTCTCAGCCTGCTCTATCCCATGCATAATCTTTTTTTTTTAATCCCCTGAAGACAGGGTAGCTTTATTTATTTTTTGTTACACCTACAAACTAAAAGACAGATAAAAAGGGAAGGAAATAGGACCCCGGGATTAAAAGACAGAAAATCAAACCCACACTATAACTAAAAGCCCAAGAGTAGAGATCATTAACAGTTAGTATTCAGTTAGTTTTATACATTCCACACTTCGGTTTTAACCAATAAGTCAGAGAATTAGTCAGTTCATGTTAGTTCCATGTTAGTTCCAGTTCATTCAAGTGCATGTCGAGATTCTTCCATCATCATCTTCGTTTGCAAGTCTTTAAAGTTTAAAGCTTTACTTCAGTCCTCTTAATCTTAAATCATACGCATCTCTGGCAGGATCCCCATGCATAATCTTGTAAACCTCGATCATGTCACCCCTCAGTCGTCGTTTCTCCAAGCTAAAGAGCCCCAAGTGCTTTAACCTTTTTTCATAGGGAATGTGTTCCAACCCTTTTATCCTTCTAGTTTCCCCTTTCTATACTTTTTCCAAAGCTATAATATCCTTTCTGGGGTGTGGTGACTCACAACAGACATCTGAGGTGTGGTTAACTCACAACACACCTCAGAGTGCCTGGTCGTCTGAATCCCATTTGCTTAATAATTCTGTATAAAAGATTACATTGATTTACATATAATAAAGATAGAAAGGATGACGAAAGAGAGGAGTGTGCCCCCAGTCACCATCTGCTTGGCATACAGAAGGTCCTAGGTTAAATCCCCGGTATCTCCAGGTTGAAAAAAGGATTAGGTGGTAGGTAATGTGAAAGATTTCTGCTAGACACTTGGGGGGGGGGAGGGGAACCCAAA